AACTGTTGTGGGGAGAGGAAGGAAAGGAGATGGTAAGCCACTCTGAGACACCTCAGGGTAGAGAAAAGTGGGGTATAGAAGAACAACAAGAAGAAGAGATTGGATTTATACCCCCCGCCCTTCACTACCCAAAGGTGTCTCAGAGCGGCTTACAAACTCCTTTCCCTTCCCCTCCCCACACCAGACACCCTGTGAGGTAGGTAGGGCTGAGAGACCTCTGACAGAAATGGCTCTTTTTCAAGGACAGCTCTTATCAGAACTATGGCTTGCAAGATTGGATTTATATCCTGCCCTTCACTTGAAGTCTCACAGCAGCTTACAAACTCCTTTCCCTTCCCCTCCCCACACCAGACACCCTGTGAGGTAGGTAGGGCTGAGAGACCTCTGACAGAAATGGCTCTTTTTCAAGGACAGCTCTTATCAGAACTATGGCTTGCCCAAGGTCATCCAGCAGCTGCATGTGGAGGCGTGGGAATCAAACCCAGTCCTCCCAGACTAGAGTCCTCGCACTTAACCACTACACCTAACTGGCTCTCCAATTCTTCATCACTGGCTGCCTCAGGATATTGAGAGAATTGTCAAATGCAGAGGCGGCTAACCACCAGTGTTTAGACTGACCTGCTTCTGGTGATTTCTGAGGAAATACAATCTGCGGCTTAGCTCTGAGGTGGATCCAGAAGGGAGCCAGTTTGGTGTCGTGGTTAAGTGCGTGGACTCTAATCTGGGAGGACCGGGTTTGATTCCCCCACTCCTCCACTCGCAGCTGCTGGATGACTTTGGGCAAGCCGTAGCTCTGACAAGAGCTGGCCTTGAAAAAGAGCAATTTCTGTCAAGAGCTCTCTCGGCCCCGCCTCTCTCACAGGGTGTCTGTGGTGGGGAGGGGAAGGGAATGGAGATTGTAAGCCGCTCTGAGACCCCCATGGATAGTGAAGGGCAGGGTATAAATCCAATCTTCTTCTTCTCTTCTTCTTCTGGGGAAGAATTTGTGTGGCGCGTCCCTGCAGAGTGAGGATCAGCTGCTTCCTTAAGTCCTGTATTCAAGTCCAGCAGCTCCTGAGGGACCAAGATTTGGGGGTGGGGCGGTATGAGCTTTGGAGAGTCCAATCTCCCTTCTTTCATTTACCTTGACCCCACTTCCTTCTTCCAAATGCCTGTCTCCTTCTAGCACGCCGGTGACTTCATCTGCACGGTCTACCTGGAAGAGAAGAAGACAGAAGCCGAGCAGCACATTAAGGTGGGTGTTCCTGTGCTGGGGGTGGGGAGCGGCAGAGCAGGAGATCTCTTAGAGTGGGGCCAGGGTTCAATCCCTGGCATCGCCAGTTAAAAAGGACCGGGCAGCAGGGGGTGTGAAGGACCTCTCTGTGCCCGAGACCCTGGAGAGCGGCTGGCAGTCGGAGTGGACAAATTGCGACAAACAGGACCACGGTGTATGTGACTAAGCAAAACACTAAATCACCGTGCATAATTTTAGTTTCCCCCCTGTTTTTATATTACGCTAAGCAGGGCTTTTTTTTGTAGAAAAAGCCCAGCAGGAACTCCGTTCACAAAAATACAACTTGAGCATCAACCGTGAAGCTCAACAGTACGTTCAGAACGAAGTCACTTCTGTAGAAATATCTACAGCCAACAATGAGGTCTTGTCTTAGGCACACCCTCCTAATCGAATATACTTATTACAAAAGCAACTGAGACAACAATACATTTCAAAGGGCTAAACGTCACACTAGGGAAGTTGAGCCATTTGGAATTTATTGTAGAAGAAGAAGAAGAAAAAGAAGAAGATATTTTAGGATGCAAACTTAGGATGCATGAATAGAAGCATTGTGCCCAGATCACGGGAGGTGGTCATTCCGCTCTATTCTGCTCTGGTCAGGCCTCGCCTGGAGTCCTGTGTCCAGTTTTGGGCACCACATTTGAGGAAGGAGGTTGACAAGCTCGAGTGTGTCCAGAAGAGGGCGACCAGGATGGTGAGAGGGCTGGAATCCAGGTCTTACGAGGAAAGGCTGAAAGAGTTGGGTCTGTTTAGCCTGGGAAAGAGAAGGCTTAGAGGGGACACGATTGCAGTCTTCAAGTATCTGAAGGGCTGTCATGTAGAAGATGGAGCGGATCTATTCTCTCTTGCTCCGGATTGCAAGACTAGGTCTAATGGGTGGGAATTACAAGGGAGTCGATACCAGCTAAATATCAGGAGAAACTTCCCAACTGTAAGAGTGGTTGAGCAGTGGAACAGTCTGGCTCGCGAGGTGGTGGATGCTCCTTCGCTGGATGTTTCCAAGCGGAGGCTGGACGCCCATCTTTCGGGTATGTTGTAGGGCTCTCTTTCAGCTGTGTTCCTGCAGAGTGCATGGGGTTGGACTAGATGACCTGCAAGGTCCCTTCCAACTCTAACATTTTATGATTCTTTAATCTATGAGTGTGTCCAGAAGAGGGCAACCAGGATGGTGAGAGGGTTGGAATCCAAGTCTTAGGAGGAAAGGCTGAAAGCGTTGGGTCTGTTTAGCCTGGGAAAGAGAAGGCTTAGAGGGGTCATGATTGCAGTCTTCAGATATTTGAAGGGCTGTCATGTAGAAGATGGAGGGGATCTATTCTCTCTTGCTCTGGATTGCAAGACTAGATTTAATGGGTGGGAATTACAAGGGAGTCGATACCAGCTAAATATTAGGAGAAACTTCCCAACTGTAAGAGTGACTGAGCAGTGGAACAGTCTGCCTCGGGAGGTGGTGGATGCTCCTTCGCTGGATGTTTCCAAGCGGAGGCTGGACGCCCATCTTTCGGGTATGTTGTAGGGCTCTCTTTCAGCTGTGTTCCTGCAGAGTGCATGGGGTTGGACTAGATGACCTGCAAGGTCCCTTCCAACTCTAACATTTTATGATTCTTTAATCTATGAGTGTGTCCAGAAGAGGGCAACCAGGATGGTGAGAGGGTTGGAATCCAAGTCTTAGGAGGAA